TTTTAGGGAAGGGTCTACAGGATGTTCAGGGTCTCACTATTATATTAGACTCAAAGTGATGTGCCTGTTTACAGCCTCCCAAGACCTGAGATTACAGGTGTGTACCCACTCTCAATTGCCATCTCAGTGTGCCCCAGAAGTGGGGCTGGCACGGCAGGCCCAGGGATCAAACCCCCGGTCCCTGAACCTGCTTGCAGGTGCTTTAATTCGCTGAGCTATTTGGCTGGCCCTTCTATACATTTTAATGTATTTAAAAAAAAAAAAACTAAATAAGAGTCACAGACACAGGGCTGGGGGTTCGACCCCCCAGCATGCCATGCTAGCCCAGCCCCCAGAATGTGCTGAGACTGCGAATGAGACTGGGTGTGGTGGCACGCACCTGTAATCCCAGTGCTTGGGAAGCTGAAAAACAGGAAGGATCACTACAATTCCGGTCTGTGTAGTGAGACCCTGTAGACACTGTACTAAATACATTAAAAAATAATAAAATAAAAAAAATAAAAATCTCACTAAAAACATAATAATAAAAGAATAAAATAAAGTCTCACTAAGTCACTACAAATTGCCCACAATGGACTACTACTTGTCATTCTTCTGTCAAAGCCCTCTTTGTGTGTGTGTGTGTGTGTGTGTGTGTGTGTGTGTGTGTGTGTGTTCTGGGGATTAAAGCTACATACACAGCCCTATTATTTTTATTTGGCCAGGCTGGGCTTGAACTTACTTGCTTGCCTCTGCTTGCCAAGTAACTGGGCTGATGGATGTACACCTCCTGCCCAGAATGCCAGATCCGTCGCCCTCCTTATTGGGCTTCGATCCCCCCCCACCTCATTATTAGAGATCACTCCTGGCACACTTCTCTCTCCTTCCTCCTGCCTATCAGACCCCAGCCCTGCTTCCCCAAGCCCCACCCTCTAGCCCTGAGCTCTGCCTGCACCCAGCTAGGTGGGGCTGGAGCTAGACATGAAGGGCCAGAAGCCCTAAAAGGTCTACTCACTTCAGCCGAACCCTTGACCTGTCCCTCTCCCAGTCTCCCCCTGCCTCTTCCCACAGCTCCTCCACTCACCACAGCCACCGCCTGGGACTGCAGCAGTTCCGTCGGGGTCATCACGGTGAAGTAGGAGATGTTCATGAGGATGTAGCACACGGTCACCAGCGGGATCCCAATGATGATAGCCAGGGGCAGGTTTCTGAAATTGACAGCGCCAGCCCACCAGGGGTCAGCCCAGAGGGTCTGTGTCCTCCATTTCCTGTCTTCTCCCCTCCCTCCCACACAGCCTATTCTCTGGATGTGGTGGCCCAGGCCACAGATGTCCTTCCTGAGGCCACCTGGGTGGGGGCTATGAAGTGGCAGGGACCAGCAGGTCGAGGGATTTTTCTAGTGATAAGATTCACTCTCATGTCCTAGAGTTGTAGAATCCAGCTGTTTAAAGCAAAGGAAGTCAGAGGGAAGTAAAGAAGTCAGAGCTCTTCATTCCCCAGCCCAGCATACCCTAAGTAAGGGTGGGTGATGAGCTTAGGAAGAGCCAGTCTCCCCCACGGCAGAGCACTCTCCTTGTGTACAGGAGGCCCTGGGTGGAAGAAGGAAAATTCACTGGCTGGAATGGAATCGTGGAATAACAGAGGCAGCAGCTCTACTCTTGCTAGAGGAATGCCACATGCTTTTGATCTGTGGTCTCCTGCCTGGTTCAGCCTTCTTACCTGTAAGGGTTTCTTAGTTCTTCTGTGATGTAGTTGAGTTGATTCCTGAAAAAAAAAGGAACATGGGTGATATGTGACTTTGATTTCTGACAAAGGTTATGAAACAATAATAAATGCTGGCTTCATTTGCGCTTGCCCCTTGCTGGGCGTTGTGGCACTCGCCTGTAATCCCATCACTGTGGAGCTGACGCAGGAGGATTGCGAGTATGATCCCAGCTTGGGCAAGTCAGTGACTTAGCAATACTTTACCTCAAAATAAGAAAAACTTCCAAAGGACAGGGAAGGTAGCTCAGTTTGAAGGCCCTGAGTTTCATTCCTAGTATCGGGAATGGGGGGAAAAGAGAAGTGAGTATTTTTTAAAGCAGTGCATCATCAGACTACTTTAACAAAATGGGAAACTTTCTTTTGGAAAAGATGTGGAAACAAAAGCTGCTCAGAAGAGAAAGCCCAGCAGCAGGATGCCTGTGGTGCTTTCTCAAAACAGAAGCACAGGACCCATGGACCTCCAGCTCTGAGTGCACAGAAGTGCCACCTATTGAGTATTGCTGGCTGGTCCAGGCCTCAGCCACACTGGCCAGCTCTAATTCAGCTCAGCCAAAGCTGCCTGGTGAGTTTCGCGCTCGGGACACTGCTCACTGGGCTTGGTCAGCGGGCAGAGCCACGTGCAGAGAAAAGAGTGGGTGTCTTGGTGTCTGTGGGGTCCCAGGAGAACAGAAACAACGAGGGTGAGAGGCAAGATGATGGTGCTCACTTGTAATCCCAGCACTGTGGGAAGCTGAGACGGGAGGATCACAAGTTCAAGTCTAGACAGGGTGATTTGTCAACTTAGACAAAATTAGAATTTCAGGAGTATGGGGATGCAAAGACCCTGGGTCAGTCTCTGTGACAGAAAAAAAAAAAAAAAAGTGTTGGGGGAGATATGTGAAGGTGCATTTTCCCAGAAAGAAGTCTTTGTTTTTCTCAGCAGGTGAAATCAGAATTTCCAGGGTAGGAACAGGGGTCTGTAGACTAGACATACAGTAAGGGCCGCCTTAGGTCTTCTCGCTAATCCTGACAAGGAACTAAAAACAAACTGCAAGCCAAAAAAGGAGGGGGAGGGAGAGGAAGAGAGAAGGAAATAGAGGGAGAAAGAGGGAGGAAGGGGGGAGGAAGAGGAGAGGAAGGGGAGGGAGGGTGAGAGAGAGAGAGAGAGGGAGTGAGAATATATATGTATCTATTACCCTTGGGACTTGCACCAACAGACCAGAAGAAATGCTGTCAAGCAGAAGAAAGGACAGAAGGCCAGGCACACAGACCATAAGCTGCTCCCACCTCCAATAAAACATAGAAGAAACTGTGAGAGGCTGACTGACTCTAAGGTGCCATGTGCACACACCTGTGCACTAACACATACACAAATATACACGTGTGTTCACTCTAGAGTCATGCCATTATTCACTCTAGGGTCATCAGCACAATAAATCCACACACTCCCTTCAGATGCTAAGCTAACCAAGAATAAGGCAACTATCTGCTCACCCCAAAAACAAGACCTTAAAAGATTGGTCCAGAACAAGCAGACAGACAGAAAGAAGCTGAACATAGACCACAAGAGGAAGTGAGGTCAGGCAGAGGCGTACAATGGCCAGTGAACTTCCGGCAAGTTCTGGCTGAGGGGAAGCCCCTGCCCATTAAAGCAGCCAAGAACAGAAGCCCTGGGGTCTTCCAGCTGCCTGCAGCCCTCTCCCCTGACCCTTTCCAACCTGGGTAGCTATCAGTCTTCTCCTTTCCTTTTACTCCTTATGAGTAAGGTGTCTCCATCTTATTAACGTTTGTCCCTGATTTTGTATTGGTGCTGAGTTCAGGATCCCAGAGGGCTGCTTGGATGGCACAGTGGTAATCCTGGTCTCCCAAATGTGACATTTTGGTTCCCTGCCAAGGAGTCAGATGTGACCCCTCAAAAGCACAGATCTGGGACACTTCAGGGTCCCCCTTACCATCCATCATATGCCCAGAGTCCATTGTAAAATGCCAGGCTGATGCCACCCACAGATGCTGGTGTACCCACAAAGGAATTTTCAAAATTTTTCGTATTTCCTGTAATTAAGCAGACAGTGAGAGCAGGTGTCAGCTGAGTGGTTTTGACTCTGCATTGTGCATGTCTGTGTGCATGTGTGTACATGTGTGCACATGTGTGTATGTATGTGCATGTGTGCTGTGTGGTGCCCACCCTCCCTTCCCGACCTCCCACAGTCACCTTGGGCCAGGAGGACCAGGCCACTGATGACAATGATGACCACGATTACCATCTTGGCCGCAGTGAAGAAATTCTGGACGTAGCTTCCCAGCTTTGCACTCAGGGCGTTCACTGTGGTGATGAGCACTGGGAGGGGTGCAGCAGGGCAGGTCGCACCCTGTGTTCAAGTATCCATGGCCCTAGAGTCTCTCTTCTCCCCTCCCACTGCTCCTCACACTGTGTCCCACGGCATGGAGTTCTGATCCAAAGGAGGGAGTGGAAAGACCTACACCATGCACCTGATGGTGACCTTTGAAATCAACTCCCCCTCAGAGGGCAGAGAAGGAGCAGCAACTAGGCCCCAAGTGGAGGGTACTGGCCGGTGGCATGGACAGCCATCAGCAGCCCCTGATAGGCCTAGGTGCTGCTCAGCTCCTGGAGTGGCTACCTGCCCAGCTCCAGAGCCTCCAGGCCCCCAGGGCCTCTGCATGGACACAGGATGTGACGCCACGTCCCTGAGCCACCTCTGACCCCTCCCCACGATGTCAGACTTAGGCACTCACAGATGGCAGCGGCAGCGAGGCATTTAATGACCACCTCGGGAGGCTTGCAGCCTGAGTAGAAGGCTGCACACACGTACTCAGAAAAGCTGAGGCAGATGATGGCGAATGATGAGGGCTTTATGACCATCGTGCTGGCCCAGGAGAAGACGTAGGCGGGGATGGGGCCAAAGGCCTCCATCAGGTACGGGTACTCGCCGCCCGACTTGGTGATCATTGTGCCAAGCTCTGCATAGCACAGAGCTCCTAGAACAGAGAAGATAGAGTCCCCTCAGTCCCCCATGAGATGTCATCCTCCCCCTTGTGTTCTGTGTCATATAGGCCAACATCCTCTTGCATTTGACAACACTGATTTCTCCCACTGGTCATTTAGAGAAAGCCTGATTTACTTTTATTTGCCACCCATGCATTGAATGGGAGCAGAGCTAGGTGTGCTGGTGCATCCCATAACCCCGCCCTCTGTTAGTGTGAGGCTGGAGGATTGCAAGGTTGAGCCTACACTGGGCAGCTTAGTGACTTAGTGTTTGGAGTGGCTGAAGCTGGATATCGATCATATGTGGAAGGGCAGAACAAGGCCAGAGTGCCTAAAGCAGTCAAGCTACCTCAGTCTTTAGAAAAACATCCTGCCTGGACAATTTCAGCTATTAGTTGCTAGGCAACCTTGTGTCTCATGATACTAACTTTACAAAGGTATAAATAAAGGTCTCAACTGTTAGTCTTTGGGGATTTTGCCAGCCAGGCAGATGGGCTACCACCTGGCCCAGTCTTGTCTTCTTGTCTATCATTTCCGCATTCATGTTGCTGTTTCGGGCTACATGGAGACACCAACGAGTCCCCACATTTGGTTCTGAGCAGGGACGCCTGGTAAGACCTAAGAGTGTGCAGTGGGAATGGGTCTCGAGTGCATGCAAAGGGTGGAGAAGTGAACTGGTTAAAGCCCGTATTCAGCACAGATGTGCATTGGTACTGGCATATCTTCTGTAAAGTGTGGGGATGGAGGCTCACTAGGGCAGAAACAGGTTCACTCTGGCCAAAAATGGGTTCACTAGGGCTGAGATAAATTAGCTTGAAGAGAAGCCAAAAGAGAAAGATAGAATTACTGGCAGTTAAAAATGAGATTAAATAGGGTCTCAAGAATCACAGATTAGGGCCGGCTGGCCCTCTGTTAGGGCATAACCCAGCCCTCTGTTAGGATGAGGCAGGAGGAATGCAAGGTTGAGCCTACACTGGGCAGCTTAGTGACTCAGCAGAGGCCGGAGGTTCAATCCCCAGACTGCCGTACCAGCCTCGCCCCCGGGTCATGCTAAGAGGGCAATTGGGACTAGGCGTGGTGGTGCACGCCTGCAATCCCAGCTCTTGGGAGGCTGTAAACTGGCGGCTCACTATGTATCCAATCTAGTCGTGAGACCCTGAACACCCTGTAGACCCTTCCCTAAAATACAAAGAAAAAAAAGAAGAATCACAGAGGTATATGTATGTAAAAGTGGTTTTGGCATGCTTGATTCTTGTATTTACTTTTCCTTTCAGGATTCTGGCTAGAAAGGACTTTACACCAAGAAAGAGTTGACTCAGGGTGCTCTTTTAAAATCAAGTCCCAAACTCAAGTGGGACAGAGATGACAAAATGGAGGTACAGCAGACAGAGCTTGGGCATTCTAGTTTTGCTTAATCAGGTGAAAAAGGTATAAAATTCTTTTAAATTGTGAGTGGCTAGTTCCAAGCATCCTGGTAGTACCACTGAATTCACTGGTCACCAGCTGGATTCAGGAAGGGTCCTGTGCTCCAGTCATAGACAGACCCCAGCTGGCACGCCCCAGCCACCTACGCATCAGAGGGACTGGTCCAGCCACGGTGGTTGGTGCACCAACTACAGTGTGCATCTGTGGCTAAGTAGGAGGGCCAAGACTGTAGCACGCCCTGGCCTTGGTGTTCAGCATGTGTGTTGCTGCCACCAAAAAATCGTTAGGCTCAAGATAGTGCCTACCCTGGCAAAAACAAAATAACCAGCAGTCAGAGCCAGAAAGACAGCCAGTGTGCACAGCGGCTGTGCACAGCAACCACAGCTAGAGGGCCACAGCACTCGTGTCCCTTGGGGAGGGACAATGTGGGTGAGACAGCCCATTTCTAGTACTAGCAGTCTGCCCAGACCTGAGGCTCTGGAGTAAAAGCAGCAACTAGAGGCACAGCCCCAGTGCAAAGTGCTCTCTTGGCTTTGCCTGGTGTCATCAATGCTGATTGTACAGAGAAATCAAGTTTATAGTTCAGTCTACTCAAAACACTGTTCAAATCACTCCAGGCTCTCATATTGCTCAATTATGTTATAACCTGTGAAATTGATTCAAGTTTTGTAACTCTGTATGCTTCCACTGTAACTTTATTAACTGTCATAACCTGACATAGGCACCGCCATCTTGTTCTGTATGCGCCATTCTAAATGCAGTAACTTTCCACTGTGCCCTGTTCTCTACTTGAGAACCTGCAGTTGGGCCTTTCTCACGCAGTCCTTTGTGCACACCTGAATCTAGTTCCAGCCCAATGCCCTGTTCTTGCCCTCGTTCCCAGCTACAAACTGTACCCACCACTAAACCTGTTATTGTTCATTAGAAACAGGTAATTTTTCAACTGTAGCCCCTAGATGAACCCTTGACGTCAGCTTTTATGGTTTATTGGCTTAAATACCCACTCCCCTCATCCTCCCGGCACGCACCTCAGCATCTTGCCGGGGTGTCTGCCGCTGGGTACCAGCTAAAATAAAGTGCTTGTTTTCTTTTCGAGCCTGCCTCATTTTTGAGTTACAACAAATTAGTCATTTTTTGTTTGACAAAAAAAATTTTCAATTATAAATAATTAAAAAGAGGATATATTGGGTTAAAAATAGAAAATTATTATTTAAAAATGAGGGGCTGGAGAGATAGCTCAGTGGCATAAACACCTGCCTGGTAAGCACAAGGACCTGAGTTCAATCTCTGGTACTGCAAAGCAAAATAAAAATTTGAAAAAGAAAAAAAATTAAAAAGGTTTTTAAATATAAGTGCAGGGGCCGGTGAGATACCTCAGCCCACTAAGATGCCTGCTTAGGCAAGCTTAGGCAAGTGCAGGTTCGATCCCTGTCACCACATGCCCCGCCAACCCTTCCCCGAGGCAGGGTGAGCTGGCCAGAGTGCAGGTGTGGTGGCGCACACCTGTAATCCTAATGCTGGGGAGGGTCAAAGCAGGAGGATCACTATGAGTCCAAGCTGGGTGGTGAGACCCTGTAACAACCAAATACATTAAAAAAAAAAAAAAAAATACAAGTGCAGATGGTCACCAGGTAGGGCAGCTACAGGTCTGCAGTTACAAAGGTGCTGGACTGCTGACCTGGAGGGATATGGAGGGCCATTCCACCAGGAATAGAGCCTCACAGAAAAGCAGGAAACAGAGTGGCTTTCTCTCTCCATTACAATTGACACTAAAAGGGAAGCTTTTACATTTTCCTCTTAAGATGATTAATTTGAAAGGTCATTTCCATTCTCAAGATAAAAAAAGTTTGCCTTTATTGCAAGTTTTAGGCCTAAATTAAATTGGTACAAAAAAGCTTTGATATTTTAAGAATGAACATAAGGTCTGGAGTATAATTTAAAAGCAGCAGGGTTTCAACAGTCACTTGATTTTGACATACCATTTAAATGGTGGCAGGCCTGTGGTGGCATACCAGCTGTACTGCTAAACCACTACTGTTACGGATTATTGGACCATATAGGATTAAACTGCTGTCTACAGGACTGGGGATATAGCTCAGCTGCGTAAGTGCTTCCCTGGCAAGCACAACGTGCTGAGTTGGATCCCTAGTACCACAAGAACTAAAAAAAAAAAAAATAAATAAATTGCTGTATACAGGTACCAAAAATCTTTGTACTGGCCTCAAGAATGAAAAGGTCTTCTATAGAGTTCTCCAAACACAGCTTCTCCAACTGCAAGGGAACACCCATTATCACACAACAGAACAGTAAAGGAGAGATGCTGGGAGTGGCTAACACTGTAAATTCATCCTGTGTGGGAGGGCAGGACAAGGCCAGAGTGCCCAAGGCAGTCAAGCCACCTCAGTCTTGAGAAAAGCATCCTATCTGGACAATTTCAGCTTTTAGTCGCTGGCAACCTTGTGTCTCATGACACTAACTTTGCATAAGTATAAATAAACATCCATACTATTGCTCTTGGGGTCCTTTGCCAATCAGGCAAACAAACCACCACCTGACCCAGCTCTTGTCTTTTTGTCTATCTTTTCCTCATTCCTGCCACCATTTCTCCCTGGGATACACCAAGACACCAACAAATCTCCACAACTCAGTGAAACCCTGTCTCAAAATAAAAAATGGGCTGGGGATGTAGTTCAATGAGAAAAACCTGGGTTGAATCTCTAGTGCAAACAAGAGGCATGAGGGTGTCTGACATCTGGTATCATAAAGGATGACACTTCTCCCTGGGCTCCAAGAGCCAGGGTCCAGGAGGAGCAGCCCTTCTTACCCAGTGTGGCGAGGACCCCGCAGGCCGCCCATATGATGAGACAGGGCCCCACCGTTCCTGTGTTGCTGAGCACAGACTTGGGGGAAATGAAGATCCCGGAACCAATGATGGTGCCCACAATGATGCAGATGCCGCTGAACAGGCCCAGCTGGGATGAGGAGAGAGGAAGAGGAGTTAGTGCTGTCACCCAGAGGCCCTGGGACCAGAGGCACCCACTAGCAGTGAGTCTGCCCAGCTCAAAGTGAACCCCATATTCCAGGCCTGTGCACCTTGAGGTGCTGCTGTGATTCCACCAGGACACTGTTCTGAGGCTCTGTACATATTAAACGTGCTCATCTGTGGTGGGTATGGTGGTGGATGCCTGTAATTTCAGACTCCAGCAGGAGGATCACAAACTTGAACGCAGCCTGGGCAATTTAGCAACTCAGATATATCCTGCCTCCAAAAAATTTAGAAAGGCCTCGAGTTGGAGTCCACTGTGAAAACCCTGGGTTCATTCCCTATCCATCACCCCCCCCCACCGCCAAGCCTTATAACAGTCCCATGATTGGAGTATAACACATCATACCCATTTCATGGAGGAGAAACTGAGCATAGAGAAGCTGCTCTTGCCCAGAGTTACACAGCCGGGCCCAGGGCCAAGCTCCTGGCCACCAGCCCTCTTACCCTCCACAGCAAAGGCAGCTGGGAGGACCCTTTCACTGGGCAGAGCAGACAGGAGTCTTCAGCAAAGAAACTAGGCTCAGGATCTGGATTTCTGTCCAGAGGAGCCACGTGTACAAGAGACACTTCCTAGAGAAGAAAACTGTTGGGGACTGAGACCTCTCTGCTATATCTGTCCTGTAGGGCTCGAACTTTCTGAGAGTTACACCCAGCTCAGATGCACTCTGTCCCATTATGTCTGCGAGAGTGACAAGGACTGGCTATGGGAGTCCAGAGTCACAGAAATTCCAGGCTGAGCACCTGCTCGGTGAGGTGACTCCCTGGGTGTAGCTTTGGCTTCCTGCATCATAGTGCACAGGAAAGATTTGTACATTGTGTCATATGCGAATTATATGGCAATCAATGTGTGTGTGTGTGTGTGTTGCTATGGACTGAACCCAAGGCTTCCCACTAAGGTACATCTTCAGCCCTTTTGTATCTTTCATTATGAGAAAGAGTCTAAGTTGAGTGGGGTTCAAATTTGTAATGCTCTTGTGTCAGCCTGCCAAATGCTAGGATTACAGGCCTAGCCCAGAATAGGTTTTAATTTCACTAATTTTTTGTTTTGGTTTTTGTTTTCATTTTTGAGACAGGGTCTAGTTATGTAGTTTGGCATACCTCCATTTCCCTGTACAGTGAGGCTGCTCACAAACTGATAGTGACCCTCCTTCCTCCTTCCTCAGGCTACTTGGCACTAGGGTTACAGGCACGTGCCTCCACGCCTGTGGTTTATGGCCCAGAGCACAGGTGAACACAGCAGGTACCACCCTGTCTGGGCTGAGTCTGCACAAGCTCAGGATCATATCCCAAGGGTAAGAGGGCCCTGCTGCTGGCCAGTTACCACGGCACCACACAGGCACATACCGCGGGGCCCCAGGAGGCAGAGTTCACTTTCCCACAGCCTCAGAGCCATGTGTGCTCCAGGCAGGTGAGGCGGCCTGAGCTTCCCTGTGGGGGAAACCTCTGGCTCTGCAACCTGGGGCTGAACCCTTTCCCTGAAGGCTGCTGCTAGCTGATGTGCAGAGGAGAGGGCTGCTATTCCCCATCACTGCATTGGGAACAGTCCTGGGGTATGCTCAGTCCTACTGTGTGGCTGAGCCCACAGGGTGCCAAGGATATGGGTGGCATCAGACTGGGGCATGGAAAAGGGAGAGTGGTGCTGCCCCATCTTGCCTCCTGGGGACAGTAAGGCAACAGTCAGCAAAGCAGCAGTCAGCCCATGCCAGCACTCCTCAGGCCCCTGTCCTTTCAGCTCTCAGGGCTCCCCCAGGGACCCACCCAAGGCTCAGCCCCATCACCCTGTCCACAAAGCCTTCCGAGATCTAGCCTCACACTGAGTGGCCCAGTGGCCCACATTACGGACTCATGACCCGAAGCCTCCTGCCCTCCACGTGCAGCACCTGCTGCCCACACCCACCCGGGGCAGGCTCAGTGTGCAGCTCCTTCTTATTTCAATCTTTGGTCCTGGAGGTGGAGCCCAGGACCTTCCCTTGCAGCTCCATCTCCACCCATGTATTTTCAGTCAGGTATTTGGGAAGGCACTATGCTGCTCACTCAGGGCTGGAACTTCCACTGCTCCTGCCTTAGCCCCCCTCCCCCAGCCTCCCAGTGCTGCAGTTATAGGCCTGAGCCCTCAGCCTGGCTGTCCTGCTCTCCACTCCCACCCCGGCTTCTTTCCTCCCAGGCCCAGCACTAGTCCTGTCTCCTCACTATGTATCAGCTCAGCTCTTCCATCCCTGTCCTGTCTATGCCAGCTGCACCTTTGCAGTGAGACCCCCAAGACAGAGCGCTGCTGCTGGAGGCCCTGCGATGCCCAGCTCCAGGGCAGTCGTGTAAGGATCAAACCTTTGCTGAAGATGGGTAGAGGGGACCTGGACACCAGAAGGCCCCCTCTGATTACCCCTGAAAAGGCCATCAGTTGAGCAGATACCCAACACTCAGGCCCTCCCCAGTCATGGAAGCACACACAAGAAGCTCATGCGTGACCCAGGAACTTCAAGAGTGCACTGCGTTCACCAGAGACAGGGCCAGGGTAGGTCCAGAGCACGGCTCATTTAAGACCTGCTGCGCAAATAAACAGCCGTGCGCTTCAGTGGGTCACAGGATCAGCAGGGCTCCACTGCTTCTGCCCTCATTCAGACACCCACCCTGAGCCTGGGAAAGACCCAGGGGAAACAGGAGGCCTCACCTCTTTCTGGAGATCGGTGACCTTGGGTTCCGTGCTCTGGATGGAGCCCTCATCCTCCCTGCGTTTTCTCAGGTTCGTCTTCTCCTCCATCTTTTTCTCCTGCCACATCCAGGAGGCTGCAAGGAGGGCATGGGCTGAAGTCTGATCCCACAAAAGCAGACAAGATGCAAAGCGGAGCTCAGCCAGGGCTGCTGTGGGCTGTGCACCCATGTGTTGGGTACAGACTCCCAAAACAAAGGTCAGCTCTGGTTTGAGGGGTGCAGGTGGCAGGCCTGGGGGGAGAACTTGCTCAGCCTCTGAGAGAAAAAAGTTCATTGGTATCATTGGAGCTGCAGGAAAGTTTACTGTGTCTTTTCCTGAGCACAGGGGCTTGTTTGCTCCTGGACAATCTGTCTCGTAGCCTGGTGGCTCCAGTGCAGGTTGCTGTCTGCTAATCCTGGTCTGGAGCTTGCTTGAAACTTGTGGAGGACCTCCTGAGTGACGCGCCTTTAAAGAAGAACAGCTGTCTCCATTTGAGCTGTGCCTGACTTATTTCCATGTATTGATAGATACAGAGCTGGCTAGGACCTTTCCTTATCCCTTTAATTGGCTTTAAGCAGTGCATATTGGTCTAGCCAGGTGCTGGTGGTAGTCTTTGAAAACAGCAGGCAGGTTTCTCTGATAACCCACACCTGCTGTTCTTTAATATGAACCGGGGCAAGACAGGACAAAGAGCCAATGCTGCACGCTGTTGGCTGGGATTGAGCCTTGAGATAGAGGCTATGACTTCCTAGGTCTTGAGAGATTATACATCAGAGCTGAAGCACCAGACCCAGACTATCTCAATAGTATAATGCAAATCACTTTTTCTGCATATCCTTCTCTCTGCATATGACAAAGTAAATGCAGACCTCCTACCTAGCCCAGCTCACAGTCCTCACCTACTTCCTGCCATTCTCAGTCACTCATCCTCAAGCCACTCCTCCTTCATGACTGATAAAACCCAGGCTCATCCCTGGGTCAAGGCCTTTGTTCCAGATAGCCATCTCCATGGCTGGACTTAGGATCCCTTGGCTTCCTGTAACTATGAATATGCCTTAGTGCCTTTATTCTTGCCGTGGATTGCACTGTAAGTGGTAGATTGGAATTAACTTGATGGGATTCCAAGGATGTATTTTGGGATTACAACTATAAGCTTGTTAGACTGAGATGAGGACCAAGAGGGGCCTCCTACCTTTGGTGTCATGATAAACACTTTACTCAAATACTCCAGGGCCATACAGAAACTTATGCCCAGTTTGTAGCAAGACTAAAAGAGGCTCTAAATAAGCAGGCTCCTCACAACACTGCAGCTAAAATGCTTGTTCCTCAGTTAGCATATGAAAATGCCAATGACGAATGTATAAGAGCCTTAGCCCCAGTACTTCATACAAAACATTTATCTGCTTACATTCATTCATGACAAAACATTGGTTCTGCCACCCAGGCTTCTGCTCTCACGGCACAGGCTGTATCCCAACACTTTACTAATAAATTTGGTGTGGTTAAATGTTTTAATTGTGGCAAGCGAGGACACAGTTGCTGTCACTGTCCATGGCCTATAAAGGTGGAAGCCCCCTCAGTGGATTTACCGGATACTCAGTGTGTACGTTCTAGTCAAGGTTTTCACTGGGCAAAAGATTATAAATCTAAGTTTCATAAAAAGGCACACTCTTGCACAGAAACCAACCATGTGCCCAAACTGAGGACCGCAGCAGCAACAACCAAAGAAGGGTCAGTCAGGACTCCATGGATTTGGACCCAGTTAAATCAGTTATGCCCAGTTCAAACCAAACAAACGATGATCCCACTACCAGGATGGGTCCAAAGTGAAACCTTAGGTGCCTCATATGAAGAATCACTCAGAATTCAAAATTAGATTTATTAGTGGCTTCTTGCCTTGATTTGTTGAAGGGAGAAAACCCAAATTTAATTCCCACTCAAATTTCCAATCCTGCCCTTAAGTCCATGTGTGAACCTGGTAGGAATGAGCCTTTAAGCAAAAAAAAATTTGATTTTTCTCAGAGTATTTTGGTGCCTAGACCTATTTGTGACATTAAGTTTAAAGGGAAATCTTACTGGCCTGATGGATACAGGAGCTGATGTCACTGTAATCAATAGCCAATCATGGCTGCCTGCTTGGCAAACTAGACCCGCCTCCGCAGCTCTGATAGGCTTAGGATCTCCTCCATCTGTCTCACGAAGTGTGCTGCCTCTTTCATACATTGGCCCTGATGGACAGGAAGGTATGATAACACCATGTATCGCATCCATTCCAGTCAATCTGTGGTGTATAGACCTCATGAAAGAATGGGACACTTACTTACTTCAGAGCCTCAGAGGTGTTACCAGATAGCAGGATGATGGCTAAGATGGAATATCAAGAAAGCAAAGGCTTAGCGAAAAACTTGCAGAGCTGTATTCTTACAATTCTGCCTTGAATTAAACAAAAAGATATAAAATTGGACTTACAATGAAGGCCTTTGGTACTCTGCAGGAAAAGTTAAGGATTTTATCAACATTGGTGAGAGAACAACTACAGTTGAGTCATCTCAAACCTATTTTATTGCAACTGTTTTTAGAATTGCTAGGAGCTCTATTAAGTAGAACTGTTGCTGCATTCCTTCTTGATCTTATTCAATCACACTCTAATCTCCCAGGTTTGTTGTCATCAGCTAATTATAATACAGGTGCTACTGTAAATCCAGTTTTCATTTTTTATAAAGCAAGACAACCCCATAAATTTGTTTCCCAAAATGCTAAACCTTTGCAAAAGGAATGTAAAATTATCAGAGCACAATCTAGACAAATCATGATGTCATGTCCTGCCTGTGAGCTCATTCCTAGGCCTATTCCTCAACAGAACTATAATCCCAGAGGTCTTAGAACCAACTGGTCATGGCAAATGGTTATTACCCATATATCCTCTTTTAGCAAACCTAAATATATTCATGCTTTTATAGATAAGTGCTCACATATGCCCCATGCTAACATTTCATATCACCTTTGCTAACTTAATGTTACAAACATTAAAACCTGATACTGTTTCCTGCTTACATTAGTAAAAATGTTCTGAGTTTTCTCGATAACAAGAAGATAAACCATGTTACAGGGACCCCCTATAATCCCCAAGGTCAAATAATAAACACACTTGTCTTAAACTAAAAAATCAACTTGTCAAACAAAAGAAAGGGGGAACACAGAGTCAAAACTTTGCTGCATATATTTTAACTTTTCTGATTCGAGCTTGGTGTGACCTCCAAACAGGTGTTTGGAATAGTCTGACATCACTTTTAAATTGGAGCCAATGTTATGCTTTTATTTCCACAGACAATCAAGAGACATTACTACCATCAGAGCTGTTCCGTGGCCAGAATCCTACCCATCTACACAACACATCAAGCTCTCTGCCGAGACCTCAATGGACCTGACAGCGCATCATCCACCTTCCTGGAAAGGCCTGCAGCAGACGTTCGTGAGGCTTGCTACCTAGTTAACAGCCAGGGTTTGGTTCAATCACCTGATAATATTCTTTTTGCAAAGCCTAATCTTATAGCAGTTTCTCTGTATACTCCTGGGATTCAAGAAGAAGTGTATTGGGCCTACACACCAAATGCATCCTGGCTTAGACCTCTTACATGGATGGACAGGCCCCCAGAGGTTTTCCATTCTGCAGAAAGCAATACCCCTATATAAATATTTCTGCATGGCCTATAAATTTATTGCATTTACAAGAACAGACTAAGCTTAATGTTACATTTCATTTTGTATATCTTCCTTTGAGTGTAGCCCACCTACAAGATGCCAGCCTTTGTATTTCGGCTGCAGATCAGACTTGGGAAGTATAATTGTTTAAAGGACAATTTGCCTTATTAATTCTAAATTCTATTCCCTTGGATGATAACCTTGTAGGAGATTTTAAACCTACCATTCCTACCTGTAGGAGACACTTCCAGGTCCTTGTCTCATCCAAGAAGCCAATATTTGTAATCCCCAAGTTATGTTATTGGAATCCCATCAAATTGATTCCAATCTACCACTTACAATGTAACCCATGGTGAAAATAAAGACCCTAAATTATATCTTCAATGATCGGGGAGTCAAGGGGCTCTAAGTCCAGCCAGGAAGATGGCTTTCTGGAACCAAGAGAGCGACCCAGAGCCTCACCCTGTTTTTTTTCAGTGGGAGAGTGGCTTGAGGAGGATTGACTGAGAATTGTGGGAAATAGGTGATCATTGTGAGCTGAGCTAGGTGGGTGGCCTACATTTACCTAAGGCCAATTGATAAACAGAAGTCCTAGCCGGCTCTGTACATAGGAAATAGGGTCAGGTTCAGTCAAAATGGAGACATTCACTCTTCTTTCAAGGAGAGCTGCTCAGGTGGTCCTCCACACCTACCTGTATTCCAGAACTTCATGCCCTTCATTTCAAGGAAGATAACTTGGACCCTTGGCAGACTTGCAGTGATCCATATCATGGATGGGCTATATGCAACGTTAATTATTACCTTGTGGATTGGTCCCCCTGAAGTTTCCCTCTAAGAAAGAATTGAGACTGGCATGAGATTTCCTTTTCAGCTCTCCTGACTATATCATGACTTTAGAGTCCTTGTCCAACGTTACATGGTCAGTTAGAGACTTCAATCCTCCCATCTCCAGATTCATTAACAATAGAAAAACTGGATCCATACAACATACTTCATGGAATCTAGCCCTACCTTTTCACAGTGGACTCCTGCTGACTGGACATCTGCAGCTGATAGTTGGAGGAAAAGTCAAAGTAGTATTACAAGGACACAGATGCATAAAAGTAAACATACGTGCTTATGGTCCTCAAGTACTATTAAAAAGAAAGAAAGAGTAGCAACCAAATATGTTCTCATGTACTAATTGTTATCTGGCCCATTGTATCATGCCTGAACATCCTTCCAATGACTCCACAGTGGTGATTGTGGGCAGGATGCCTGGAGTTTGGCTTCTAGTCCATCTAACAGAGCCTTGGTGTCATTCACTTAATTTTTTCTTGGTAGACATTAACTAACAGATTTATCAATTGGACTAAGAAAATACTTGGATTAATTATAGTAGGGATAGCTTCATTGGTGCTTTTGATAGCCAGGGAAGTTATTGACTCTATGATGTTAGCTCATTCAGTATTAACTGCTCACTTTGTAGTCAACTGGACAAGAATTTCTGGTGACAGCAAGAAAATTCAGCATAATATTAAGTTATTAAACACACAAGTGAACATTCTAGAAATCTCTGTACTTTGGATGGGAGATCAATTTAAAGTTTACAATTACAACAAGGTTTAAAATGTCACTATAGGGGCTGGAGAGATGGCTCAGTGGTCTAAAGCACCTACTTAGAACAAGCTTGGCAAGGCATCAGGGACCGCGGTTCAATCCCCCAGCACCACATGCCAGCCAGCCCCGCCCCCTGGTGGGCTGAGCTGGCCACACACACACACACCCCTCTCTCTCTCTCTCTCTCTCTCTCTCTCTCTCTCTCAAATAAATAAAAAAAAAATTAAAAAAAAAGAAATTAAAAATAAATAAATAAATAAATAAAAATAAAATGTCACTATAATATGACTCACTTTTGTATCACCCCATTAGCATATGATAAAAATCTATCTCCATGAGAAGTGATTACATGACAGACATACAGAAGAAGCAATCCAAAATATTACCGTGGATATAGAGGATCTTCAGAGAAAACCGCTGTCAATGCCACAACAGAAAGCCGCATTTGATACCCAAGTTAAAGACTGGGATAACTTTGCTATTTAAAAAATAAAATCTAAATTAATTTGCCTGTCTCAAGGCTCACTTTGGGTTTTATGTTGGAGTTGCTGTATTCATTCTCTTGCTTATAATCCTTCTCATTAAAGTGTGTCATAAGAGATTCTCAACCCTGCAACAGCTAGAGGCCGTACAGCCATGGCTGACTCTGCTGCAACCTCTTCAGAGCAAAGAAGGGAGAACTGTGGAGGACCACCCGGGCGACTCTCCTTAAAAGAAGAGGAATTGTCTCCATTTGAGCTGTGCCTGACCCTATTTCCATGTATTGATAGATACAGAGCTGGCTAGAAATTTTCCCTCCAATTATCCCTTCAATTAGCTAAAAGCAGTGCCGAGTTGCTGCTGGTGGTAGTCTTTGAAGATGGCAGGCAGGTTTTCCTGATACTCCACTCCTGCTGCTCTTTAATATGGGGCAAAACAGGACAAAAAGCCAGTGCTCCATGCTGTTGGCTGGGATTGAGCCTCGAAATAGAAGCTAGGACTTCCTGGGGCTTGAAAGATTACACATCAGAGCTGAAGCACCAGACCCTAAAACATTAGATAATACTTCAATAGTATAATAAATATTACTTTTTCTGCATATCCTTCTCTTTGCATATCACAGATGTAAATGCAGGCCTCCTACCTAACCCAGCTCACAGTCCTCACCTACTTCCTGCCATTCTCAGTTACTCATCCTCAAGCCACTCCTCTTTCATGACTGATAAAACCCAGGCTCAGGCCGGGGAGATGGCTCAGTGGAATAAGTGCTTCCCTGGCAAGAGCAAGGGTCTGAGTTCAATCCCCAGTTCTGCCAAAAAAAAAAAACAAAACCTAGGCTCATCCCTGGGTCAAGGCCTTTGTTCCAGATAGTCATCTCTATGACTAGACTTAGGGCCCCTTGGCTTCCCATAACTATAAATATGCCTTAGTGTCTTTATTCTCTCTGTGAGTTGCACTGGAAGTGGTAGATTGGAATTAACTTGATGGGATTCCAAGAATGTATTTTGGGATTGCAAATATAAACTTGTTAGACTGAGATGAGGACCAAGAGGGGCTGCCTCCAAAACTCATCCTGCCTCCATCATCCAGTGTCTTTGTGTTCAAAAGTAAAATATTGTTGAAAATACACTGGAATATACTGAGCAGAATCAATCCCAGGCAGTGTTGCTTTTCTTATAATTCCTTCTAAGTTTAGGGACCCTCAGGACAACTGATCTGTGGGATGGGTACAGGTTTCCCATTCAGGGATGCAAGGAATAAAATAAAACAATTGCTGAGGAAAACCAGTCCCAGATGCTCAGGCCTCGCTCCCTCCAAATGCAATCCCTGAGCAGACCAGGCCACCCAGCCAGGAGAGCATCGGGCCTCCCCATCACCCTACAGGCCTTACCTTTCTCTTGGTCTTGTGGAGCCAGAGGAGCTGCCAGCCCAGCTGCCTGCCTGCGACTGGACCAGCGAGGAAGGGGCATGTCTTGTGCCCAAGGTGGAGGAAGTCAAAGGTACAGAGGTCAGCAAAGGTAATTATTAAACCTCCCCCACCTCCTTTTGTAAGCAGTGAAGTTTTTGATAGACCACACCAAAGAGGAAGGATCAGACAACCCAGAGCCAGTTTCCCTCTGAAAATGTTCTTGTGTATCTGTGTTAAAAAACAAAGCATAACAAATCAGATTGTCCCAGATCAGCTCCATTACCTAAGAGGAAATCTCTTCAAAGAATAGAAATCCTGCTTGCTTTCATCTTGGGGAATCAGTGGAGATAATCGTTGGAACTGACTCACTTATTGAAATGGGCCATATTTACAACTCACAGCAGGCAGCAGAATGGTTTCTTGTGTGTAGGTAATTTGACAGCTTTTTTTTTTTTTTTTTTTTTTTCACCTCTGGGAAGGAATTTCTTGATAAAGAAGCAAGTGGGGAGGTAGGTGAGCCAAAGACGGGGTAATGCCAGGAGACTTCCTGTGTGTCTCTGTTTGGTCCTGGTCTGAGAATCTGCCTGGAGGCTATCAAGTATAGTAACAAGTCATTTAAGGAAGAGGCAAACTGAACTCAGGACTTGGAGTAGCCATGGGTGGGCATCAGCTCAAAGCTCACAGTGACTGGGTGAGGGACAACCGAGGAAGACATCCAGGATCAGGGAGCTGAGGTCACGTAGGTAAGAGACACCCAGAGTGGTGGAGGCTGAACAACTTGGGCCCCCACCCCACAGTCAGAGGCCTGGGTCAGCGTGGCCTGAACTGTGGAGTTGAAAGCCCCAGAGCCGGCACCTGGCCTTATTCCTCCTTCAGGCTTGCTGGGATTATCTACAATGGACCTGAGCTCTGTCTGCCTTCTTTGTCCAGCAGAGACAGTGGAGACACACCGGGAAGTGGACACTGCCACAGAGTTGTACACCCCAGAACAGGACCACAGGCTTAAATTGCAGAGAAATCTGTTTACCTTTTTCTTGGCTTTTTTCTTTATTTTTAGTTTTCTCATTTTGTTTTGTTGTTGTTTTTATTTTTTGTCATAGCTTTCTTTATCCCTCAGCCTTGCTTTCAATTTCTTTCTCTTTTTTTATTTCTCTATTTGTCCTCATCTACCTTTAAACTTTTCTCCCCTTAGGGTAAAAACACTCTAGTAAGGGATATTTACTGTGTATATAATTTTCTGATTTCTCTTATATTTTCTGATACAACTATAAATCTGGTACTTATGGTTAAAAGTGGAAAGTTAACCATTATTACTATTCATCATTTTCTAGAATGTACTTCACGCTCTTGTTATTGCTGGTTGTACTACTTTAGCCAAGTTGATACAGTTGTCCTGATCAGTTGTTCTTCCTTGTGTAACAATATCAAGATTGTCAGCAATCATAAGCAACACCATGGTCTACTACCAAAGAACTGGGTGATTGGACAAATAAGCCACAACTATTCATCCCTAATAAGTCGAAGAGACAGGAGTTTTAGACACACTGAAAAGCTAAAAGCCAGCAATAGCTGGAAGATGTCTTGAAAAGTAATCATTTTCTAAGGAAGTCTCAATAGTAGTAATAAAGCTACCTACCATAGGCAGTGTAAAAGCATCAACACAGATGAGAAAGAGAGAGAGAGAGAGAGAGAGAGAGAGAGAGAGAGAGAGAGAAAGGACAGAAGCAACTGATAAGCCCACTGCTCTATTTTGCTCAGGATAAATCCAGGAGGCATTGAGGTAGAAGAACTAAAAAACTACCCAGCAGAACTTTTTGTTTTGTTTGCAGAACCAGGTATTGGACTCAGTCCCCTGTGCTTGCCAGGCAAGCACTTATTCCACTGAGCCATCTCCCCGACCTCCAGCAGAACTTTCTGAAATGATACAGTAGATATAACAAAGTAGATGAATGCTGTTCAAGAAAAAAATGACAAATAATTAAACAGATGACTAAAGAGATGAAGAGCATAAAGAAGGTCATAGTTGTTTAATCTAGAGTAGATACAGATTTTAAAAAATAAAAGAGCTTAGGAAAGTGATAGAAACCATGAATGCCCAACATAGAAAAGAACAAGAAATAAATTTTCTTGTTTTTATGGAAATAAAACAGATTCTAACAGATACCCAGGAAGTTAAAATTTTTATTCGAAGTATATGCAGCAGAATCAACTAATGTGAAGACAGACTACTGGCCCCAGATGACACATTTGCAGTTATCATCAGATGATAGCTATAGCAGTGTACCACAAAAAGTCAATCCAACATCTGCTAGGCAATGCAAAGAGGATACCATAAGATTAATCACAATCAATGAAAACTCGAAAGATAGTAGGACATAAGAAAATCTTTTCACAAAAGCAGTAGCAGAAGACTTCCCAAGCATGGAAAAAGAGAAGGATATAGTTAAGTGAGGCACATAGAACCACAATTAGGGGGCCGGGGAGATGGCTCAATAGAATAAGCGCTTCCCTGACAAGCACAAGGGTTTGAGTTCAATCACAGGTTCTGCCAAAAAAAAAAGAAAAAGAAAAAGAAAAAGAAAAAGAAATACAATTACTGATTAGAGGGGAAAAAATAGATCAAGGCATATCATAATCAAGAATCCAGACATTTGGGCCGGGGAGATGGCTCAGTGGAATAAGCACTTCCCTGGCAAGTGCAAAGGCCTGAGTTCAATCCCCGGTTCCAAAAAAAAAAAATCAGATAACCACAATACAATTGTAATGGGAGAGCTCAATACCCCACTGTCACAAATAGATCAACTAGACAAAAAAACAAAAACAAACAAACAAAAAAAACCCAAAACAAACAAATATCAGAGCTGAACTAAACCTTTGAACAAATGAACTTAGCAGATATCTGTGAAGAGTTCTACCCAACAAGAGAATGCACATTCTTCTCAATTGCACACAGGAATTTCTCCAAAATAGACCACACTTTAGCTCATAGGATGTGCTTAAGTAAATACAAAAGAAATGAAATTATTCCATGCATGTTACCACATCATAACGCAACAAATCAGAGTTCAGTGACAAAACCAAACCACAAAAACTTCACAACCACATGGAAATTTAATAACATTCTCTTGAACAACCAATGGGTCATAGGTGAAATCAAGAAATTAGATAATTTCTCCAATTAAATAATAATGTCATGATGATACACTGGAACTTAAGGTGTACAGTGAAAGCAGTCTAATAAAGAAAATTATAGCAGTGAATTCTCACATTAGAAAACAAATTAGAAACCTTATTTGAGAGAGCTCGAATAAATAACCTGATGTAAGCTTTTAGGAAAGAAGAAGCAAATTAAATTCCAAGTGCATTCAGTGGGGGAAATTATAAAGATTAGAGTAGAAACTAATCGAATTGAGACTAAGAAAACAAAAAGAAGCAATGAATTAGAGAGCTTCTTTGAAAGATTAAATAGAAAAAGCTCAGCCAACTTTGTTAAAAAAGAAAACTCAAATCCACACAATTAGGAATGAAAAGGGCAAAATCACAATGAATTCTGCAGAAATCCAGAAGAACATAAATGCCTACTTTGAGAACCTATATTCTAATAAAATGTCAAAGTCAGAAGAAATGGACATTCCTAGGTACATATAAATTACAAAAGCTGAGTGTTACAGTTTGTATGTTATTTGTCCCCTCAAAATCTCATGCAATCATTGAGGAGCAGTTCAACAGTTTGTGATTAATTCATGATCCAAGGCTGGGATTATGGGTCTG